ACAGCCTGCAGTCCTTGAGCTTCGTGACGTTTGCCTGGCAGCTTGCAATCCTTGAGCTTCGGGCACGCTTACAACCAGAGCTTGGATGATGTGACGTTTGCATGACAGCTTGCAGTCCTTGAACTTCGTGACGTTTGCCTGGCAGCTTGCAATCCTTGAGCTTCGGGCACGCTTACAACCAGAGCTGGGAGTTTGTGACGTTTGCCTGGCAGCTTGCAGTCCTTGAGCTTCTGGTACGCTTTCAACCAGAGCTTGGAGAATGTGACGTTTGCCTGGCAGCTTGCGGTCCTTGAGCATCTAGTACGCTTACAACCAGAGCTTGGAGAAAATGACGTTTGCCTGGCAGCTTACAGTCCTTGTGTGACGTTTACCTGGCAATTTGCAGTCCGTGAATTTCGGGTATGCCTACAACCAGAATTTGGACAACGTGACGTTTGCCTGGCAACTTGCAGTCCTTGAGCTTCGTGACGTTTGCCTGGCGGCTCGTAGTCCTTGAGATTAGGGTACGCCTACAACCAGAGCTTGGACAGTGCGATGCTTGCCTGGCAGCTTGCCGCTTCGGGCACGCTTACGACCAGAGCTTGGAGAACGTGACGTTTGCCTGGCAGCTTGCAGTCCTTGAGCTTCGTTTTCGCTTACAACCAGAGCTTCGACAATGTGCTTGCAATCCTTGAGCTTCAGGTACGCTTACAACCAGAGCTTGGAGAATGTGACGTTTGCCTGGCAGCTTGCAGTCCTTGAGCTTCGTCACGTTTGCCTGGTATCTTGCAGTCTTTGCGCTTCGGGTACGCTTACAACCAGAACTTGGATTGGAGAGTGTGACGTTGGCCTGGCAGCTTGCAGTCATTGAGATTCGGGCGCGCTCACAACCGGAGCTTGGACAATGTGACGTTCGCCTGGCAGCTTGCAGTCCTTGAGCTTCGTGACGTTTGACGCAGACGGCGTTCAACAAGGCGGTGCAGGCCGACCGTGCCCCACACCCTTTCCCCTCCAACCTCTGCGCAAGAACACGCCAGCCAATCTCAGAGATGGTATCCGAATCGACAAGTACCACCACAGGACTACGCCACCGACCACGCGGGCGTAGTCAGCACGTGCCTATGTTGAGCAGTGACGATCCCCACCCCCTTCCTCCCTAAACCCAGCGTCATGAAGTGAAGTGCGATTTTGATCATGCATATCACGCGTTCATGCGCAGCTTGTCCCTACCCCAGTCCCTCACCTACCCAGAGCGCTTTTCACCAGTGGCTGACGTAGTGGCAGCCTGGCAGCTTGCAGTCCTTGAGCTTCGGGTACGCTTTCATCCAGAGCTTGAACTGGAGAGTGTGACCTTGGCCTGGCAGCCTACAGTCCTTGGGATTCGGGTACGCTTACAACCAGAGCTTGGAGCATGTGACGTTTGCCTGACAGTTTGCAGTCCTTGAGCTTCGGGTACGCTTGTACCCAGAACTCGAAGAATGTGACGTTTGCTAGACAACTTGCAGCCCTTGAGCTTCGTGACGTTTGCCTGGCAGCTTGACAGCTTGTAGTCCTTGAGCTTCGGCTACGCTTGCAACCAGAGCTTAGAATTCAAGCCAACAGCACCACGCCAAGATGACCACGCAGATCGGCACCACACACGCAAGCAGTACCGGTTTCCTCTTTGGTCATTTTGTTTTCAATTTCACCAAAAACGAGTCCTGTTCTATCTCACCTACCTCTGACGCTTGGCTTGGAGCGAGCAAAAGAATTGAGACCAACTGCGAGTCGACTTCCTTCATCCATCATGTTAACATTTCATTATTTGAAACATGCATGTCTGAGCTCGTTTGCATGTCATCATGTTTCACATGTGGTCCACTTCCAACAGAGTTTCTTCTTCCTAACATACCTCATGATGACGTTGCGCTACTACGCCAACAAAAGGTTGATGGTCTGCTTCGGGTACGCTTACAACCAGAGCTTGGAGGATGTGAAGTTTGCCTGGCAGCTTGCAGTCCTTGAGGCAACCAGAGCTTGACGTTTGCCTGGCAGCTTGCAGTCCTTGAGATTCGTGACGTTTGCCTGGCAGCTTGCAGTCCTTGAGCTTCGGGTACGCTTACAACCAAAGCTTGGAGAGTATGGCGCTTGCCCGGCAGCTTGCAGTCCTTGAGTTCCGGGTGCGCTTACAATCAGAGCTTACGTTTGCCTGGCAGCTTGGCGGAGACCCAGTTGCCCAACACCTTGGACCTGAATGTGACGTTTGCCTGGCAGCTTGCAGTCCCTGAGTTGCGTGACGTTTGCCTGGCAGCTTGCAGCCCTTGAGCTTCGGGCACGCTTACAACCAGAGCTTGGAGAATGTGACGTTTGCCTGGCAGGAACATTTGAAGCATGAATGCGCACATGCCCGGCAGCTTGCAGTCCTTGAGTTCCGGGTGCGCTTACAATCAGAGCTTACGTTTGCCTGGCAGCTTGGCGGAGATCCAGTTGCCCAACACCTTGGACCTGAATGCGACGTTTGCCTGGCAGCTTGCAGTCCCTGAGTTGCGTGACGTTTGCCTGGCAGCTTGCAGTCCTTGAGCTTCGGGCATGCTTACAACC